GAATAGAAATACGTTACATCTTAAATACACTTGTATCTACTAAAAAGTTACTGTGTAGGAGTATACTAGCATAAAGATGACATAAAGTGAATAGGCTTGGACTAAAGGCCAATGCACAAAAATAATACAGGGCAAGTTACACACTGCCTTTTGTCAATATGAGCAATAGTGATAGTGATGCTTGGCTAAACAAATACCACTAAAAATAGAAAATGATATCTACCTTCCTGCATTAGAGATTTAAATGCATTTGACAAAAACATTAGTTGAGATTGGTGTTTTATGGGAGGTGATAGTCTCTGAATGAGGTCTTGACCTGTTAATCATGTTTCTGGTGGCCGCAGCTCAGAGCGTGTTGTTTAATTTATATTTTAGCTGCTAATTGCTCTGCAGAAGATTGCTATTACTACCTCTGACATCTACTGTCTGCCTGTCAAATATTTGTCAGGAGCAAATCAATATTTCATAATTTTTCCATATTGCTCGGTGACAGGTCAAAAGCATTAAAGAAATAGTTCAGCTTCGTAAAATATCTTCTTTTGTGTTTCACAAGAGAAAGGAAAGTCTTACAGGTTTGGGACGACATGAGGGTGAGTAAACGATGACAATTTTAATTTTTTATTTTGAGTGAATCATTGCGTTCAAGAGAGAAAGCTGTTTATCGTTTCCAGTCGTTTACATTGTATGTCATTTTGAGTATTGATTACAAACGGTATGAAGCGATCAGGATATTAAATTCATCAACCGTGAGGTGAGCAGATGAGTGTTTAATGTTGCATTATTGTGCATTATGCACACGTTATCTCAGCGTTATCTTAACGTTATCTCAATGTCGTCCGCTGTCTTATCTGTGCTAATCGTGTAAGTGCATGTTACATCATTAACTGATTCCACAGTGAGATCACATGTAGAAGTTCCCGCTTCTCAAATGAGTCACTATTTGTTAATTATTTAACATAAAAGTAACAATTATGACGTTAAAAGTTGAAATTAAGATTAAAAGTCATAAATATGACGTCAAAATGATTAAATAAAAAGTCAAAATTGACAAACAATTATGACATGCAAAGTCAAAATTGACATAAAAATCAGAATTATGACGTAAAATTCTAACAATTTCTATTTCATTCAAGTATCAGCTTTGCCTCAGATGTTATATGACTCAAATTAGTCACTATTTGTTATTTATTTTTCTGATTTAAAGGTGAAAATTGTGATGTATTTAGTCAAAACTGTGAAATAAAAAGTGAGAAAAAATTGAAATTGAGATTAAAAGTCATAAATCATGACGCAAGTCAAAACTGACAAACAATTATGACATACAAAGTTGAAACTGAGATAAAAATTCACGATTATGAAAAAAAAAGACGAAATTGACATTGATGTAAAAAGTCAAATTTCTGATTCTCATTTATGTATCAACTTTGTTTCAGAACTTTCTCCTAAATACCTTCAAAGTAATAAAATATGACTCAAATGAGTTGTTATCCAGTAAGAGCTATAAAATGAAGATTATTTGACGAGAAATGCTTGAGTTCATATTGAGACTTGTGATTGCAGACGTTTGACAAATCTGAGCACAGTTTGAGTCATAACTGAGAGTCTTCTGGAGACACATTTTCTTCTGAGGAACATCGGAGACGCAGGAGACTTCTGTAAACGTCTAATGAGATGTTAAAGAGATCTTATTTGTGATCTTTGGGACTTATAAAGAAGCATTTGTGATTGTCATGAGAACTAGATAAAATGTGTCCCAAAAAGCGTTTGATCTCAGAATATGAGCTGCACACTTTGTTTTATGTGTTGAAGGGTTGATCATTTGCTGCCTGTGTGTTTGTCAAAGGACTGAATGCTGTGTCATTTCTCCTGCTATTGTCTCAGAGTGTGTTTTAATGATATCAGTGAAGCCCTTAACGTGAGGACAGCAGCAGATCTTATCACACACACACACACACACACACACACAGAAGCAGCGCAGGAATGTGATAAGACATAAAACACACACACACAGCGGCTGAATCAATCAACTATTAGTGACTGTACACACACACACACACACTCACTCACTCACTCACTCTCTCTCACACACACACACACACAGAAGCAGCGCAGGAATGTGATAAGACATAAAACACACACACACACAGTGGCTGAATCAATCATCTATTAGTGACTGTACACACACACACACACTCACTCACTCACTCACTCTCTCTCACACACACACACACACAGAAGCAGCGCAGGAATGTGATAAGACATAAAACACACACACACACAGTGGCTGAATCAATCATCTATTAGTGACTGTACACACACACACACACTCACTCACTCACTCACTCTCTCTCACACACACACACACACAGAAGCAGCGCAGGAATGTGATAAGACATAAAACACACACACACACAGTGGCTGAATCAATCATCTATTAGTGACTGTACACACACACACACACTCACTCACTCACTCACTCTCTCTCACACACACACACACACAGAAGCAGCGCAGGAATGTGATAAGACATAAAACACACACACACACAGTGGCTGAATCAATCATCTATTAGTGACTGTACACACACACACACACTCACTCACTCACTCACTCTCTCTCACACACACACACACACAGAAGCAGCGCAGGAATGTGATAAGACATAAAACACACACACACACAGTGGCTGAATCAATCATCTATTAGTGACTGTACACACACACACACACTCACTCACTCACTCACTCTCTCTCACACACACACACACACAGAAGCAGCGCAGGAATGTGATAAGACAAAAAACACACACACACAGTGGCTGAATCAATCATCTATTAGTGACTGTACACACACACACACACTCACTCACTCATTTTCTACACAAAATTATGAGATAAAAAGGCATAATTATGAAATAAAACATAAGAATTATGACATACTGAGTCATAATAATTATGAAATAAAAAGTGGGAACTGAACAAGTCAATTATGACATAAAAAGTCATAACTATGACAGTCATAATTTGCACATTAAAAAATTTGATTTTTAATAATTTCAAAATTGACATAAAACATGACATTAAAAACTTTATCACATACAATGTCATAGTTATGACATAAAAGTCATAATTTGGACACACAAATGTAGATTTTTTTGTCATAATTTTGACTGTCATGAGTATGAAATAAAAAGCAGAAAAACAATTATTACATAAGTTGAAATTGACAGAAAGTTGTACGGAAAAAGATGAAATTGACATGAAAATCATAATCCATAAGTAAATAATAATAAATATGGCTTTGTAATAATTATGGCTTACCTGAATGATAAGTCAATAGTATTTGAGGATGCTTTAAAGATATGTTTTGGGACATACTCTTTTTCTTCTACTTTTTATGATTGATAATATGTGAGTTTGGAGCAGCAGCACTAATCTTCATGTTCACCGGTGAAGGGGCTTTGAGTGTGTGTATGTGTGTGTGTGTGTGTGTGTGTGTGTGAATGCATGCGTTATTTACTGCGTAATTGTATTGCGTAAAATACTTTTTAAATTTTGATAAAGTGAGGAGATATCGATGTTGTAATTTCCATAAACACAAACTATGCATGAGTCATAAATCCCTCACAGTCTGAGTGCATGAGCTTTATTCTGTGTTCTGTAATAATAAAGCTCAGCATGATGTTGGGATTACAGTAATCTCTACCGCTGCAGATACTGTAATAACATCACTGCTCAGACATTGTTTTGTTTTTTTTGTCTGCTATGTTGGATGATTCCACAGCAAAGTTCACCTGGAAAAGAGATTTGTCATCAATGTTTGAAGCCCAGCGTTGCTTGTCAACCGATAATAGTTAAGCAGTAGATGTACTGTAAGTCAGCTCTCTTTGTTCCAGACTTCCACCATATATGCACAGAACACAAACCCTCTGTAGACAAAACACCATAACCATGTGCTACAAAACACCAAGAACAATTATATGGATGAGCTTAGAACCGTAACGTTCCTCACACAGGGTATAAAGGCCCAAAGCACCATGAGGTAAGCTTCTCCAAAGGTAGAGAATTACCTTCCTGCCATTACTCCTTCTTTACTTCCTTAAACAGGTGAACTCCTGCATGTCTAGAACAGAGCGCCCCCTAACGCTCAGGTGAGTAGTGACAATGCTGCCCTAAGAAGACAGGAAAACGGTTACAATGCGATATAATGTTAATATTTTGATAAAATCTCAATACAAATATAATTGAAAGTATATTTTTTAAAATTAATATGACAACATATTTATTGTGACTGTATACGTATGTATATGTGTGTGTAAAACATTTTTAAAATAATAATTGAATACAAAGGTGTGTGTGTGTGTGTGTGTGTCAGTGTCATTGAGATACTATTATAGTGTTTTTATTAATATTTTAATCCGTTTTTGTTTTTTATTTTCCACTTTCATTTTAATTTTTGTTAGTACTTATGTTGTGTTTTTGTCATTTTTAGTTTTTATTTATTATTATGTCAGTTTTAGTTATTTTAGTACATCAAGTTAAAGTAAATTAATGGTTTTTAATGGTTTTAATTTCAGTTTTAAAGTTTTTTAGTTTTAGTTGTGTCTGTGTGTATAGACAGACAGACAGACAGACAGACAGATAGATAGATAGATAGATAGATAGATAGATATTACATATTACAGCAATCTTGAATAAGAATATGACCAAATATGAATATGAATAAAAATATTCACGTATGCAGTAGGCCTACATTAAAGTAATGCAGTATAAAATCATTTTAAAAAAGGATATTTATTTTTACAATATAATTGTATTGCATCATATGCATAATTATGCTATTGTAGACCGGATATAATCTTTTAATAACATCTTAATACAAAATGATATTATATAAAACATATGAATAACAAAATGACGGCATAATATTGATAGAATAAAAAATATTACATAGTCATGCTGAAGTCCAAAGGTCTAAAAGGCTGAGTGTGTTTTGTTATGAGGATATTTCAGGTGTGTGTGTGTGTGTGTGTGTGACATATCAGGATAATCCGTGTAACCCTTTCGTGTCCGCGGATCCTCCAGCTCCTCCGTCTGCGGCGCTGACTTGTTTATTTCTTGCATTTCTCTGAACAGGATCGAGTCTCCTTTAAGTATCGCCTGCTGTTCCTGCACTGGAGCCCGAATGTGAGGGAGGTGATGTTTCCAGGCAAACGCCGATATCAGACGGAGATCCGGCATGGCAGCGGCCGGTGCTGATGAGAGACGCCGCGGATCCCTGCTCTTCATCAGCATCAGCGCCTGAAGCGACGCGACTCGCATCCATCATGCTCGTTCTCCGTGTGTGAATAGCAGTGCTTCTGGGCTGAGATGGTTCGGGTCGTCAGTGTTCTGGGTCTGGTGATGTTCAGCGTCGCTTTGCTCATTTTGTCATTGATCAGTTACGTGTCCATCAAGAAAGACTTCATCTTCACCGCCCCGAAATACGCCAACGCCGGCGGGCCGCGGATGTACATGTTCCACACGGGCTTTCGGTGAGCATGTGTTTTATCACGCTCATTCATTAAATCAGGGCCATAAAGTGGACGTTTATGACTGTAATTCAAAAGGGGGGCGTTTGTAATGCACATGTGTGCAGATATTGCCTACATGTAGATTAATAAGCGCGTGCTTTAATCACATTTTGGAAAGGCCTCTCTTGTCCTTCTGTCATGATGCTCGGCGCGCATGCGCAGCTCGCCCCTTGATCATGAAGATGAACAAACCTACATTCTCATATTTCGCAGAGTAATGATTTCTGAACAGTCAGCTGCTGCTTTCATATTCTGTATACATCATGCATTCGATTCTAACAAACAGACTTAAGAATTAAAGCTCGTTTTAGCATTTATCCTTCAACATTTCCATTGCACAGAAGGTTCTTAATAGTGGAAAAAGGTTCCTCAGAGTATTAAAATGTTCTTCATATCAAGATGTATTATTATAATTTTTTATAGACAAAGAAAAACTTGTTTTTGTTTGCATATGGCAGTTATTATGGTTAACTAAAAATAAAAATAAAACAATAAAATACTTGAAAAAAAACGTAAACTGAAATAAAATAAAATGTAAGAAAAACTTATTATGTGTGTGTGTGTGTGTGTGTGTATATATATATATATATATATAAAGTATAAGTAATTCAAAATATTAATAAATAAAAAAAATAAAATATATTTTTTTTTAATTAAATGTTTTTAAATAACACTGATGTATGGCATTGTTGTGAAAGCAGCTTTTTACAATTTTTATTTTGACATTTGATGGAATTTCGTTAAAGGAATAGTTCACCTAAAAATGAACATTAGCTGAAAATGTGCTCACTCTCAGGCCATCCAGGATGTAGATGAGTGTGTTTCTTCATCAGATTTGTAGAAATGTAGCATTGCATCAGTGTCTCAGCAATGGATGCTCTGCAGTGAATGGGTGCCGTCAGAATGAGAGTCCAAACAGCTGATAAAAACATCACAATAATCCACAAGTAATCCACAGCACTCCAGTCCATCAGTTAACATCTGGAGAAGACAAAAGCTGAAACAAATCCAGCATTAAGACGCTTTTAACTAAAACACAAGTCCATAATCCATAATAATGCTTCCTCCAGTGAAAAAGTCTCCTGTTGTCTCTCACATTAAAATCCAGCCACATATGTGTTTAGAGCTGTTTAAACGCTGCTTGATCTGTGCAGATTTCTCTCCTGATTCAGACCAGAACACTTTTTCACTGGA